AAAGAGTTTCTTAAAAACTTGAGCTACCACTTAAAAATCAGGAGATTTTCATCATGGCCTTGGATTTGGCAAAAGATTCTTAGATATGACACCAAAAGCATGGGAAAAGAAAGAAAGAAACAGATAATCAGAACTTCACAAAAATTTTAAAACTTTTGTGCTTCAAAGGACACCATCAAAAAAGGGAAAAGATAACCAACAGAATGGGATAAAATATTTGCAAATCATATCTGATAAGGAACTTGTATCCAGAATGTAGAAAGAACTCTTATAGCTCAATAATGAAAAAGACAACCCAATTTTTTAAACGTTTTAAAAGTTAAATTTTTAGATATTTAAAATGATAAACAGGAGACTTTGGTTTAAAATCCAGATGCCCTGGAAACACTGAAAGAACTAATCACTCTGGGCTCACATCCCTTCATGGTAATGACAGGAGAGAGCTGAGCAGGGGCTGCCTCCTGTAAGTGAACTCTCTAATCAGCCACAGTCCTCACTACTCCCCACTGTTCCCCAACCCAGCCTACTTTCCTCACTGAAGCCACTGAAGGTGGTGAGGCCTCCTAAGGTCATTGCCCAATCACTCTATCGCATAATCTCTTTAAGACTAAATTCATTCTGGTGCTGAGTTGGAAGTTTTTTATGTTTGGGGTTTTTTAAATTTCTTTTCCTTCACTGATTTTATTGCCATATTCCAAGAAAACTCTTAGCCAAGAATGTATCCTATATTTTGCGTCTCTCACAACACCCAGCACAAGACTAAGAACAAAGTCGATGCTCAATGTTCACTGAATGAACCTATAAATGAATGAGTAAATAAATGCTTCTCTGTGATCTTCTTCAATACCTTGTCTTCTTCCCCCCAATTCTAGACTTACGCCATTAAGAAGATGGCCTAAAATGAATATGGATGTGTAATAAAAAGATAAAACATGAAAATCAATCACTACATTTCTATTTTCATTTTCTATTAAGGTGAAATGGAAATGGGAATTCTGAATAAATGCAGAACAGACCATTACGTCTAACAGTAAGACGAATTAGAGCCCAGGATAGTGGAGAGCACCTGCAAATAAGATTACTAAACACTATCAGGGATCTTTGAGGGAACTGTGAAAAACAGGATAGGCGCCATAAAGCTGGAGATGGGCAAATTTGATTTTCAAGAGGGGAAAGAAGTTCGAGCTTGCCAGTTCCAGACTGAGAATATGGTGTTACTCTCAGGCAGGGTTCCTGAACAGATTCATAAAGGGACACTTGTAAACACCTCGGACAGAAAGCAACATCCCTTTGGAGCCAGCACAGGGTCATCAAGAACAAGTCATATTAAATTCATTTCATTTTCTTCTCTCTGACAAGGCTCCTAGCCTAGTGGATGAGAGAAATACAGCAGATAAAATATATACAGTGCAATGATGGGGTGGGCAGTGAAAAGGGCTAATTCAACCCTTGGGCTATATTAATAGAAGCATTACATACCCCATAAAGGAAGTGATAGTGGTTTTCTTTCTCCAGTCACATTTAAAGAGTCGCATTTAGAACTTAGTATCACTCTTAAAGAAGGCTTTTGACAGTACAATCTTTTGGAGGTCTATTTGGCAAAATCTCTTTAAAAGCATAAAGCTCTAATCCAGATTACTGGTATCTGTTGAAAAATTGAAAGATCTGGCTGGGCCTACATTCTAAGTGGCAACAACTGGTTGAACCCAAGTAGTGACTGCCCATTTGGACAGGACATGTGCTCTCAGGCCGACCATAACTACCACCTCTTCTTATGTTGCCCTGGTTGAGGCAGTGGGCCAGCTGCCACAAATCATCTTACCTAGCCAGCTTCACTCACTTATTCTATCTGCCAAGTACTCAAAGGCACTGGAGTTTGCAACCCGGGATGCAGTAGATCCCAAGGTGAGTGAAGATGATAAAGCAGCAGTGAACCACCTTATATGAGCAAATGGGAGATAATCATAGTCCCTGGGTTATGATTGGAGTCTCCAAACACCCAATGGGCAGTCATGGGAAAGAAGCATCTGTCTTGTTCTATGAAGTCCCAAGGTATAGAACCGAAAGGTGGATTAGAGATATACTTAACCCAACATAAAAACTGCTTACAACAGCCAGAGTGGTCCAAAAATAGAATATGTGGGCTTGGGAAGTGGTGAGTTCTCTATCACTGGAAATGTGCAAGCATGTGGTGGTACTACTGTGTTGCAGGTATATAATCAAAAGGATTCAAGTATCTGATTAGGCAAGAGAAGGCATGAGTCTGAAATTTTTCACAATAGGAAAAAAAAAAAGCTGTTTTAAAACATTCCCCTTTAAAGAAAAAACATTCCCCTTTGTTAGATCAGTAAATGCTTCAAAAGGAGAAAAAAGGGACTAAGCCAACAAAAAACTCAGCATCATTTTTAAAAATCAAAAGTTCCCCTCACAAAATGCACAGAGGACAAAATCTGTCAAACTAGGTGGAGTGTTTGTGGCAAACTGGCCAGATGATACCGAAGGTAATTGGCATCAGGCATTATTTTTGGTGATTGGTCAAACGCTCTTCAGAGGCCAGCAACAAAGGCAAGGGAGGAAAGTAAGAGGGTAAACAATGGACCGTGATCGAGAGGCAGCGGGTCCCTACCACAAAACTGCCATCTGCTACTGACATCAATCCTTCAAGGGGCAGCTTCAGGCAAACAATGTATCGGGGACACTGGGCCTGGAAGAAAACCAGCTGCCTTCACATTTCCCACCTTGTGACCTTGGGCAAGTCATTTAACACTACAAGGCCTCAGTTTCCTCATCTCTAAAACTGAGCTCCTACAGACCCTGTCTGTACTTTGTGTAGGCCAAGAGTGGTGAGGTCTGGGAGTGAGCCATGGAAACAGTTGAGCCCTGAACACACATCAATAGTTATGATGATGATGATGAACAAAGAGAATTTTGACAGAAAAGATTCCGGACAATTTCAGGCACAATAGCATCCTGACCTAAATTGTGTGGGTGTCAACACTAAAGGAATAAAATCAAACTCTTTTAACTAGAATGCAGAGACATTTAGAGTCTGGAAGAGACAAGATCATTTGGAAAAATTTGCTGCTGAAATGCATTACCTTGTCCTTGCTAATTAGTTGTTAAAATAAAGGCAAAAAATAAAAAGTAAAAGAATCAGCCAGAGCTATAAATGCTTAATTGATCCTCAAGCAAAGTTCACAGGCCCAGTGGTGGCAATCCTTCAAAAATGAGATGAGCACATTTTTTACTAAGACGATGCTTATAAAAACTCCAAACTGTCCCAAACTCACCATACCCTTCTCTCTTATGGCATTTTTCATGTGAAACTCAGTTTTAATAAACAGTAGTAATCAGCCAGTCTTACAAAACATAAACTTCCTAAAAAGCGTGCAGGCAAAGGCTGAAACCAGGCTTTGTATTGAACACTCGAGAGAATTCAGATCTCTGACCAATAAAGGGCGGGTATCTAAATTTTCAGGAAGGCTGAAACATTGTAAATCACTGTCTTCTACACTGACTGAAAACTAAAGAGGAGGAGCCCAGGGAAGAGCAGGGTTTTCTGCTCATTTCTTCCTGGGGTCTACTGAGAGGTGATCTGCACGCCAGGTTTGAGCAGAACTGAAAGGCACAAGACGGTTGGCGAGACTGGAAAAAAACAAAGCTCTCCCCTGATGGCTGCTCCCCTCCCAAAGTTTCCCAAGCATCTGAAGCGTGTACAGCAGCTGTGATGCGCAGCCTCCCACCGCTCCTGTGGAGGCCACCCCACTTCCTGGGTCACTGAGCCTTGAGCTGCAGCAGCACCTAGAAGCAGGTGTGGAACCTCAGGTCGCCGGAGGCCCAAATAATCAACTTGCTCAACAGTCCACCTATAACCTCAGGGGCAGGCATCAACACCCCCGAAGATATATTTTGTCTTTACTCTTTCTTCAGGAGACCACAACACACCCAGTGTTGCAGCAAGGAGAACCGTGACCAGAAAGAAAACATATGCCAAGAGGCCAGGCCCAGGCTTCCCTTAGGGTACATCCTAAGAGAAAGGGTGAGCATGGTGGATGGTGCTTTCAGGTTTTCCTTGCCAAGGCTGAGCCTAGAACTCATGAGGGTGGGAGAAGCTCCAGTCTGGCCTAAATAAAGATTCTGCCTGAATCTGTCTATACGATTGTGTCCGGTTTCCTCTTTCCCCTTGCTAGTGTGGATTTAGAGGAGTGTGCACCCAGTGAGTAGCACTAAAGCTGGAACAAGCAGTCAGAGGTCACCTCATCCTCCTGGCAAGCTTTCCCTGACACTATGGAAGCCAGGCAGCGCCTACCAGCCAGCACACTGAGCTGTTGGCTTTCAGTGAAGGCTGATGACCCTAAATGCTAGTGCACAGACGGTGATCGGGGCTGCACACTGCGAGACAATACATTTTCTGCACTGAGCTCCCTCTTTATGCCTAAATGCCTGCATTAGTTTGGATCAATATGCTCCATAACAGTTAATCCATGGCAACCCAGTCCAGCTGAGAGTCACCGACAAAGAAGTGCAGCCCAGGGATGCTGCTTCCCTGAGCACATGCATGTGAATTCCAGCCCAGAGAAAGGGACAGAGGCAAAGCAACAACAAAAACCAGAAAGGAGAGAGAAAAAAAAACAGATCATTAAAAAAATAAATCAAATTAAGGGGTTTTTTGCATGGCGGGGGGAGGAGGCAGTGACTGACAAAATGGCCTTAGAGTGACATGTCATGGCCAAGATGATGGAGTATCCACGACACTCCTAAAGCAGGGCGTAGGATCCTCCTCACACACCTGCAATGCAGTGATCGCCGCCCGTTCTACAATCCGTACTCCCAGCGCCAGCGCTCTCTGCAGTTGAAACCAGTCCGGACTTGTGCGGCTGCCACTGTTCCCCCTCACAATAAGATTATTGATGCATAACAGCATTTCATGATGGCAGGGAGGAAAAGCAAGAGAAGAAGGAAAGGGGAGGGGAGGCATGACTCCCCAGCCCAAATCTCACCTTTTATTTGGACTTCATATTCGGCAATGATCTCTTTGTCTTTCTTGAACTTAGTTTGAGATGACATCTTCCAATGTGGCCAAAGGCACTGACAGGCTGTTGGATTTATTGCTCCTTTTCTTCCCGAGTCCCCGCTCCAGCCCTGGTAATCACACAGCTCTGGTCGATTTCACAGGTGTAGGGACAAATCTCTTTCACTGGCTGCAGAGCCAGGGGAAAAAATCCCTCTTGTTCTCAGAGGAAAATTCTCTTTACTCGCTGAAAAATGTCTGTAGTAGCTTGGTCTGGCCAAGTCCTCTTGACCAGAAGAAGAACCACCACCCTAGGAGCACGGTAACCTGCCTGATATTTTCAAGATTTTTCTTCCAAAAAAAATAATATAACCGAGAGCACTCACTCACCCCACTCACACAAACACACACACAAACACACTTATGCGTGTACTCACACACTCATCCGGACACGCACACACACAGTTGTGATGCACACACACACCCTCACACCCGCTCACCCGCTCACTCACACACACACACACACACACACACACACACACACACACACACACACATCCACGAGAGGCGCGGCACCTCCTTGGTCCTGCAGTCAGCCTCCGGCTGGCTTTCGAAGGCTCTCTGCTAAGGAGATGGTCAGGTTGCCAAAGAGCCGGTCATCTCGCATCCTCCCTCCCTTCTGCGCCTTTGGTCCGATGTACAGTGAGGCTCAAAGCCAGGAGAGCGAGGTGGAAGTTCTCCTGCTGCAAGGCTTAAGCTCAGGGTGAACAGGAGGCCGGACTGCTCGCCCTGCGGGGCTGGCCAAGCACTCCCCCCACCGCTCTCGTCACCAAGCTCCACCTCCCGGATTTTATAACAACTGACACATTGTAGCCTACAGGAGAGCAGAACTCACTGCAAGCAAAAAGGGGAAGAAACATTCACAAAAGGGAAGGAGGCAGGAAAAAGAACTGGGCTGGGGAGGCCTGAGAGGCCCCTGCAAACTCCTACCATTAGCAGTTGGGTTAGGGATTTTTCCTCCAAAAACTCTAAAAGGTCCACCTTTTCTTTGCAACATGAAATTTAATTCAATTTCTCAAAGCAATGGCTATGTGACAGTTTGTCACACTGCCGGATCGTCTAGCAGAGGAGAGGGGCTGACCCATGTAGGCAACCTCATTAATATGTGTTGAGCATTATGGGGTGGCAGGGACAATGCCAGGCATCTCAGACACACAGCTTTGCACAGCTGTTGGGAGCAGGCTTGCTGGAAACCCAGCCACCTCAGGGTCTCGTGGGGCTTTGGGCAAATCAGTAACTCATTGAGCCTCAGTTTCCCCACCAGTAAAATGGGTTCTCTTTGGGGGCTTTTTCATTCTTTCTTTCAACAAATATTTACTTTACGCTTAATACAGGTCAGGCACTGTTCTGGGTATGGGAACACAGCAATGATCAAACTAGGACCCCCCCCCCAAAAAAAGAAAAAAAATCCCCACCCTCCTGGAGCTCCAGGGTGTCCACATCACCCAACTCTGGGAAGTCAGCACCAGTCATGGTAATATTCTCAGTAAAAGCAGCCCCGAGCAGAACTCAGAATGCATTGTGAATGGTGCCTCCTGGAGTTGTGCAAGGCGAGAGGCCCTGGGAGGGGAAGATGAAAGATAAACAAGACGAGAAAGTTATATAATATGGTAGAAGATGGTAAGTGCTGTGAGGAAAAAATATTGCAGGGTAAGGGCCTTCCGGAATGAGGGAGCTCTTAGAGGCTCAAGTAAGAATGTGAGGCTGAGCTTAGTGCAGAGCTTGGTAATAAGTAAGTGAGAGCAATTCTTATTAACCATGATATCCCTCAACAACCTCACAGCATAGTATATGTGAAGGAACAGAGAGGCACAGGTATGGGAGGTGACTTACCCAAAGTCACCAGCATTCAAACCTAGGCTGTCTGACCCCAGATTCTGCCCATGCAGATGTGCAAAGTCTCCTGCATTCTACTGGAGATTAAACCCATTTCACATGCAGTTAAGGCAGAATAAGATCTTTTCTGTAAAAATGAAATCAAGCACTACAGGGTTGCTGCCACTGGAATTTCACATATTAAGATGGTCCTTAACATGTATTGTCCCCCGAATGTCGTATTTTCACAAATTTCTCAAAATAATCTTCCATTTGCCTTTTTCTGGGTGCATAATGAATGACTTGATTTGGGTTCAGAAGTAAATAGGTTATCCATGCTAGTCCATTGAGGCTTCCTAGAGAAAGTGACAGCTGCAGCCATTCTCCCCAGGTCGGCATGGGGAGGTGAGGGGCACTCAGTACGAGCTGGAGCAAACAGTACAAGCCACAGTTGGGAATGCACGAGATCTGCTTGGAGAAAGCAAACGAGAAGTCCAGCTGGCGAACCACGGGGCTTATTATAGCTTTGTGCCCAGAGACAGGAGGTCACAGAGTTCACAGGTAGATGCCACTGGCCCACAGCCATCACCACTACCCCCCGCCTCTCCCTTCCCATAGACACACTCAGGCCCTCTGCAGTCACCCTTTGGACCATTTTAAAACAGTGAAAGCCACACATGTTACCTGAGAAAGATGTGCTCAGAAATTAGCATCCCTGCCTCAAGCCTAGACTCTCAAAGGAAAATGGGAGCTAGTATCATACATTTGGGGATGTGACAAACTGGATACCTTGCCTGGCTCTGCCACTGACCAGCTCTGAACACTAGAGCAAGTGACTTAAACTGCTTGTTGCCTATTTGAGGCAGGAACTAGCAAATGTCAGCTATTCTCTTCATTACTAAAATTTAAAATCCACAAAGATTTCTGGGAGACCCATGTGTAAGGACCTGAGCCACAGAAATGTCACAAAAAGCCATATAAAACTGAAATGAAGTATGGTATAGAGCTAGGTGCTGAACAACAGAAGAAGCTGGGCTTCGGCGTAAGACAGGTGGTGGGGCTTCCCTGGTGGCGCAGTGGTTGAGAGTCCGCCTGCCGATGCAGGGGACACGGGTTCGAGCCCCGGTCTGGGAAGATCCCACATGCCGCAGAGCGGCTGGGCCCGGGAGCCATGGCCACTGGGCCTGCGCATCTGGAGCCTGTGCTCCGCAACGGGAGAGGCCACAACAGTGAGAGGCCCGCGTACCGAAAAAAAAAAAAAAAAAGACAGGTGGTGGTTTAAATTCTGGCTCTGCCATTCCAGTGTGTTGGGGGGCCTTAGGTAGCTTCTGTGCCTTCACTGAGTCTCAGTTTCCTCGTCCGTAAAATGGTGGGGATCTCACTCTTTGCACAGGATCCAGTGTGATCATGGGTTTAAAGTGCCTGGCACATAGCAGAGGTCCCATGCAGTATTTCTTTTTAGGGTCCAACCATGCTGGGTCTAGGACCAGAGATGGGGTTCCACACATGCCTGGGTTGGAATCAGGAAGGGAGGAAAAAGAAAAAGGGAAAAAGAAGAAAAGCATTGTGCCCGCTGCGAATACATCATAACACACCGTGAACCCACAGCATCCAGAATCTTCCTTCCCCAAGAAGAGGTGGTATGACCTGCTCTTTTCCTTCCACCCCTCCCCACAGCTCACCCCAATCTCCCAGCTGCCCTCTGTGATATTCTCTTCCACGTGGCCACTTCTTCCTCGCTATATGAGAACCAACTGCCATTTCTGATAATTACCCTTCACATGGAAGAAACAGAAACCAGATTGCTCCAAAAATAAATGTGGTAGGCGGCAGGGCCAGGGGCTCTGCCATGTGATTTGATCTGTGCCAGCCCCACCCACAAGGATGGGAATAGCCCCTGGAGGGTATATTTCATTTCCCTCAGGCTCATTTCCTGGATTCTTTTAGCTATTCCTGAATTATACTAATAGCTAATATTTATCAAGCCCTCACTCCATATAGGCATTGGGCCAAGTATTCTATATAGGTTTTATCACTGACATAGATTTTATCACTGGGTCAGGTGCTGTAATCATCCTTGTTTTACAGATGGGAAAACAGGGGGACAGAGCAGTGAAGCAATTTGCCCAGGATCACACAACTGAATTGCATGCAAGCCCACATCCGGCCATATCAGAGCCCAAGGACTCAACCAGTACCCAATTCTATCCCAGAGCAATCAGCGTAGGAATAATTGCTGTCAAGTAGTAACATTTTTCTTCAATCAATATAATGTTCAATCTGAAGTTTGCCATTAAAGAAAGAATTTAGAGTTTAAAATATAAGGAAAACATGTCACAAATGGCCACTGATGAAGCTTAAATCACAATTACAGCTGAATAACACAAAACCCACTGAACTGGTTTCTTTTCCTGGTAGAAAAAAAAAAAGACTCTACTTGGAGGAAGAATGACCAGAATAGTTTTTAGTTTAAGGCAATTTTATTTTTCTGGTCAAATATGAAACACTCCCAAGATGACTAATAAGAGTTGATATCTTTTGTGATATTCTCCAATGCTACCAATTAATGCATCCTTGGCTGGCTTGGTAAATAATTCTGCCCTTCAATCTCTGCTCTACAAAATGAAAGCAACAGCAGAACTCAGCTAGTTAGTGCCAGAATTTGATACAGTTAATAGTGATGATAATAACATGTCTTGTCTGTATATATATACTGCTTTATATTTTATAAAGCCCTTTCATATCGTTTCTCTTATTTGGTCCTCACAGTAACTCGGGGTGGGGAGGGGGTGGGGGGAAGAGGGGGGCAAGTGCGGCTGTTTTTAATACCTGTTTGATAGGAGTAGATAAGTTGCAGGGTTTTGTTTGTTTTTGCGGTACGCGGGCCTCTCACTGCTGTGGCCTCTCCCGTTGCGGAGCACAGGCTCCAGACGCGCAGGCTCAGCGGCCATGGCTCACGGGACTAGCCGCTCCGCGGCATGTGGGATCTTCCCAGACCGGGGCACGAACCCGTGTCCCCTGCATCGGCAGGCGGACTCTCAACCACTGCGCCACCAGGGAAGCCCAAGTTGCAGTTTTAATGGAAGAATTATTTTATAACCTCAAGTATAATGATGGCCTTCCTGGGACTTCCCTGGCAGTCCAGTGGTTAAGACTCTGCACTTCCAATGCAGGAGGCATG